GTGGGCGGCCAGAACTTCTCGTACAGTTCCACGTGCGTGGGGCCAGCGTGCACGTCAGAACTTACGTGGCAATGTGTACCAGCGAGCTCTGCCGTGCTTGTGCAGTCTTTCGACTCGTTGGCTCGGTGCACTCCAGCCAGTAGTTGATTACTTGATTTGGTCAAGCTAGGCGCAAACGCTACAGGGCAGTAGGGCCCGTTTGTATCCCTCACTTGTATTTTGCCTTGTCTGGCTGGATCAAAGATAAAAGTGTTTGGTTTACTTGCTCACTGTTTCAGTTCTTATGCTTTTATTAAGTCTTTTGTTCCCCAAGTCAAGCAAACTAAATTCGTTTTTCTTCCCCAAGTCAACCAAACGTGCCCCTCTCTCTCTCTCTGTGTATGCATAAGAAAATAAAAACAAACAGACCAGAGTGACACGCAAAGTGAGGTCGTTGGTAGGCTAAGTGGGCTAGATTGTTATGGACTACGGAGTAGTGCCCGCGGGATGCTCTAGCACTTTCGGTCCAGCGCGAATCCGGTTCTTCAGTTTGGGCTTTGTTCCAAACGTGCCGCATGGGCTTCGCTCGATTGGTTGGTTCATATCATTACGGATTCATAAAGAAATATTGCTGGCTAATTTATGTGTAAAAAAAATACTATCCATCTATCTATAAAAGTATATAATTTTGAGGGGTCACGTCGCCATCACTGTTCATCCGGCCCGCTAAGGAACAGTACCCGACCTGCTAAGGAACAGTGCCCTACCCGCTAAGGAACAGTACCAACCTTTTCCGTTTTTTTTTTGGGTTCAGACCTGAAAATTAAAATAAAAAACCCGTGCGGGGCCTCCAGCTAGTTCTAATTAAAAATTTACGATCATTTACCATGTGCGACAGCCAAACGAAGCGTCGAGCAGAGAAGACACCCGTTGCGACGCGTCGATCTCCAACGCCGGCACGGAGCTCGACTCCACACACACACAGCCCCCGCCGCTACCGCGAGGCTCGATTTTGAACTGAACTGAACATTCTGGAAAAAAATTTAGGGTTCCGAGGTCTCTCTTTCTCGCGTTTCCCCGTCTGGTCTTTCCCGTTCGCCGCGAAAGCGGTAAAGAGGCCGCGATCTTTGCCGCCCTCATCCCTGCTCCCGTCTCGCCTCCTCTCTCTCTCTCTCTCTCTCTGCGCTCCCAGGGCACCAAAGTCACCTCCATAATCAGGTGAACTGTTTTTCCTCTTTTTTATTCATTTTTGTTTTCCTTCCAGAAGGTATTGTTGGTTTGCGGCTTTACTCTCTTTGTGCCGTCGGTGGTGCCAGTTGAAATGTAGTTCTTTTGTCTCCGATCATGGTCGGTGGCACTGCGATTTCGCTTCTTGTGAGGGTTTGGTGCTTGCGGCGGTGGGGATTGGTGTGGATTTTCGTCGAACGGCGGTGGGGGATAGTTGCGGACTTGCGGTTTTCTCTTTGCATTGTGTCCCGTGCCCCCTACATAAATCTAGGATGTGACAAGTTCTCTCGAAGAACATAACTGAAACAAACCTAGCATGACTCAGTTTTGGTGACACGATCGAAGCAGACTACTCTTAGCAACCCATTCAGATGAATATGCTCTGTGCTGCACTATGCCACTTCATTGCAATTTTGAAATTTTAAGCTGATGAAACTCATGTATATGGCCACAATACTGTCTTCAGTGTATTGAGATTCTTCATACACTGGTTGTATTCATTTATTGCCAACAATACAGGATGCGGGAGGTACAGCTGGGCTCCCACACGGTTCAGACCCACGGAGTGAGACTGGCCAGAAAGCACACGCACGACTGGGTTGTTCTGATTCTTCTGGCTGCACTGGTGGTTGCCCTGCATTACGCTCCCCCGTTCAGTCGATTCGTCGGGAAGGATATGATGACTGATATTAGGTACCCGGTGAAACTAAGCACAGTACCAGCGTGGTCTGTCCCTGTATGTTTCTGAACATTTTGCTTCCAATTCTGTTGTCTGATAACTCACTCCATTCAGCACTGATGTGGGGCGTTCAACCTTTTGCTAGATGATCTCTATACTCTGTCCCTGGCTCGTCTTCATATCCATATATGTTGCCAGGAGAGACGTTTATGATCTGCATCACGCAGCACTAGGTTGTTTGAAATGCCCCTGTTATCTTCTGTCTTTAATTATTCAACGCGCAGACTTGCTGATTAACACGTTGCTGAGTAATTCGTTCGTGTATAAATCCTCCAGGTGTCCTTTTCGCTGTGCTGATAACTGCAGTTTTTACTGATGTGATAAAGACTGCAGTAGGGAGACCAAGGCCAGACTTCTTTTGGCGATGCTTTCCTGATGGAAAGCAGGTATACTTCCATGTGTACATTTGTGTGTAGATAGTTCATTTCATCCCTAGAGATGCTTTTCATAGTTTAAGATTAACACAGTGCTTCTATGGTACGTTTGGTGCAGTTATACGATCAGGTGACTGGTGATGTGATTTGCCATGGTGAGAAAAACTTCTTAACGGATGGACGCAAGAGCTTTCCTAGTGGCCACACTTCGTGTAAGTTTGCACTAATAAATGCTCATAGACTCTAGCATTTAGATGGATAAGCTTGCTTGTCCAAGTGTAGAGCTAATAATTGAGGTATAAAATACCGGTACTAGATTGTCAACAAATGCTGCGTTCATTAGCAGTAGTGGCACGGATCTAAATATTTTACTGCATCTGTAGCGATGTATGCCTGGACCTTGACCCAGAAAGTTTGTATCCTTATACTTTGTCTTTGTTACTATTTGTATAATTTCTTCTTATCTCAACCAAGTGATTATCACGAGCATAGAAAACTCAGAACGTTGTAGTGACTAGTACAGCTATGTTTTTTACGCCTGATTGGTCAGTGTCTGAAAGTATTTACATTCCCAGGGTCTTTTGCTGGTCTTGGATTTTTATCACTCTACTTGTCAGGCAAAATTAAGGTCTTCGATCGCCAAGGTCACGTGGCCAAACTTTGCATAGTGATCCTTCCACTTCTTCTTGCTTCACTTGTTGGGGTTTCAAGAGTAGATGATTATCGACACCACTGGGAGGATGTGTTTGTTGGCGGCCTTATTGGTGTGTGCCTAACCTCTTCTTTTTTCTTCTGGATTAAAAGCTTCGATGCCATTAGTAAGCAGTAACCAATCTGAGTTGATGTTGTACAGGATTTATCACGGCAGTGCCGTGTTACTTGCATTTCTTTCCTCCTCCATACCATGATCAAGGTTGTTCAATATTTCTTACTAAACAAATTATTTTCAATAGTACTGCTTTAAGGGTTTGCCCTGCTATCAGTGATCCTCTTTCTTGAACATTTTCCATTGTTAGTTTTGTTTCTATAATTTTAATTTTCCTTTTTGGATATGACGGTCTTTTCTTTTCGCCTTCAGGCTGGAGACCATATGCATACTTCCACATGCCGGAAGAACTTCAAGCCGCAAATTCAAACAACGCACAAAACCAACAGTCCACAGGTGGTCATCAAATTGCCATGTCCGAGCAGCAGCATAACAGGACATCAAGAAACGATTTGGAATCTGGAAGCGTGTAACATGCCTCCTGCACTTTTACTGAAGTAGCAGCGATGTACATTGTACAGTAAGTGCAACCTAACCTTCTATGCGTGTACTCGACATGTGTTACAATATAGAATTAGAGATATATAGTTTCTTCTTACCCAGTGTTACACTGGCTTCATCTTTTGTGAAATCAGAAGCTAGTAAGGCCTAACCTAGATGTTCCAGGCCTACCTGTGGCCAAATTAGTTGTAAGAGTTGCTAGTGGAGGTACTGATTAGGAACTTATTCCAGTTATGAAAGAGCAGCAGAAAGTAGAGTTGAAAATGACAAGCACATCTCCTAAACATTCTGGTCCAGCTTGCACCGTCCAATGGGTTCCAAGGCCTATTCTTCTGTTCGTAGATATACGGCCAAATATATTTGTTTTGTCTCCCTATTTGGATGACCAAATGGATTCCTGGTCTTTTTTTTTCTCGAATTGCCTCAGGCACGGTGTTCATTAAGCAGGAGAAGATAGTTTACTTAAAATTACAAATAAACGCTATGGTAATCCATCGATTACCAAAGCACAACGGCCCACGGGCAGCAAACGAATTTGATTTACATACTACTATGCTTACGACGGGAATGACCCATGGAGACTACATCAGTGTTAGCAAGGACAGGAGGTGCTTGTATACAGCCAAACACCACTCCTCGGCCTCGTCCAAGATCGAGCAAGCCAGACCAGCCGCGTCAGTGAAAACTCCATCAAAAGTGTGCGAGTTCCTCTCCTTCCACAGTCTCCAGCCAACTAGGAAGAAGTGCGAATCGAACCCCTTTCTCGCCGCCCTTCCTGGTCTTATTCATAGTTGGGTTGAACAGATCAACACGGATCGAGATCTTAGTTGTTAAGGTAGAGGCAAAAGCACCACCACTGAATCCTGTACTTTACAACGGTGATAGCAGCAGCTGCGGTCTGCAAACCTGTTGAAAAGCATTCTTCGGATTTTTAATACAGTTCCCCCACGCATAAAAATTGCTTTGCATTTTGGCATATCGTGTTAGTGTATGAAGTCTTTGCCTTTTCGGCGGAATCACACGGGACTTTCCGTTCGATGTGTCTAGCCACAATGCATTATTGTTATTCATTAGCCATGCTTGATATTTACAGCAGTTAAAGGATTCCTATATAGAAGCCGCTTGCTCAATTAAACGTTCCCGCAAAAACAAAAGTGTGCAGCAAAGCGAGGCTTTTATATTCACTTTTTCTGTCCAAGCTGATGAGTATGTGCAAGATGAGATTAATCTAGCACGGTGGCTAAACATGGAGCATAAGCATAACTACCGCATGACTTGAAAAGAAAATGGATGGCCATGTTTAAGAAGTTAACTGACGAATAACTTGAAAAGACGGCCAGCTTTCAGAATTTATGAGTGGGCCAACATGAGTACATGCGTCGGGCAAATATGCGGCGAAAATCGTTGAGGCGCCATGGATATATTTGTGGTTGTCGACGACAATGTAAAGAGACTGAAAATAGCAAAGGGAAAAGGGAACGCGCGGAAGGTATGCACCCTTTTTTTTTTTTTGAAAGCACCAAGTTTTGGGTTACACAGCGAGCGGTTTTCTGCAGCTCTAAGCTGTACTTCGATCTGCTGCATCTGCCTGAAGCCCTGAACCCCCACCCCCCCACCCCCCTCTCATTATACAACTTCAGAGTTCAGATGGAATTGCATTCATACTTGGCTGCTAAAACAACCTTGCTATGCATTCTCTGTGAACAACCTATCGTGGCGTCTGTGCTTCACTGTTGACAGCCGTTTGAACGTCAAGGTTACAAGCTGTTTAAAAGGTGTATCATATACAGGTATCCATCACTTGCGTCTTGTGAATATGCTGATTCAGTTCAGGCAGATACTTTGTTAACTTCATCACAGTGAGCACAGTCAAACGATATGCCAAAACGCTGAGTCCTCTTAGCTTAGCTTGTGAAAGATTTCACTTTCACAGGCAGGCTCGAGAGCTTTGGAATGCACCTACTTTGAGCCTGGAATTCACGGTGCTTTCAAGTAGCTTTGAGAAGTAACAAAAACAAGACCCACGTATAATTATTTATGTGACAGATTGACAGTACAGGAAGAAAGTGACACAAAGGCCACTGCTTACTAAGAGACAGCCTCTGCTTACTACACAAAGCAAACTGAGAGACAGCCTCTGCTAACTAAAGTCCCCTTGACCCTGTTCACCCCTTCAATGGACAGGGCAGGGCAGGGCAGCGACATGGAGGCTCTGATCCACTCTGCGTGCTCCACTCCTACTCTCCCCTCCAGGTGCCTCTGCTGAGTGTCTTGAGCAGATGGAAGGACTGATAAAAAAGAAAGAGTAACAAAGCTAAAAACACTCACTTCTCTGCTGTTATGACAGCTAATTGTTGCTCGACTCCTGCGTGCGCGCGCGCTCGAGCATGGACGACACTAATACCTTTCGTGATCGGCAGTAGCTGTGGCAGGCGGGTGGTGGTACAAATCCGCGGCGGCGGCAACCGTGCCGTTCCTACCGGCGGGCGGCTTCAACGTCCCGTCCGCCTTCTCCTGCGTGCCGGTGGCAGCGGCACCGGCCCCGGCGGCAACGGTATACGCGGGGCCTCTCCTCACGTCGTTGGACACCTTGTGGTCCGCCTCGGTGCCGGCAGCCGCCCCGTGCGCGGGGTAGCTGTTGCCGTTATAATAGTGGCCGCCGTTGCCGTTGTAGTGGTGGCCGCCGTTGCCGTTGTAGTGGTGGCCGCCGTTGCGCTGCGCGGGCGGAGGCGCGCCGTGCTTCGTCGCCGGGGAGTGATAGTGGTCGTCGTCGGTGCGGGGCGTGCAGAGCCAGCAGTCGATCGGGAGGCACATTCTTGGATGCGGCGGCGACCGGTGTTGGCCCTCGACCTCTCTACCCGGCTGCCTTGCTCCTTGTTGCTTGCTTGCTTGTAGTGGTATAGTAGCAGAGAGGGAGACGGACGGGTGTTGGATCGGAGTTGCTTGCAGGCCACTAGCACTAGTCTTGGTGTTGCTTCTTCGTGGTCTGGTACGATACTGGTGTGCCGCTGCGGGGGCGCATATATACGGGCGTCGGGTGCCGAGCAACTTGTACGTGAAGCCGTACGTGAGGGCGACCGAGCAACAGGCCAACAGCCGTGTGGCCGTGTGGGTGTGGACACGGAGGGGAAAGGCAGTTAGGCGCGGGCGGGCGGCCAGGTGACTCGGACTCGCCGGGGCTCTCCTGGTCTGCCACAGGTCGTATAAACACGTCCGTCCCCTATGTACACCAGTTCAGTTGAGTTCACCACCGTGTCGATTCGATCCAGCCTCGGTTCGGTTCACACGTCGACGTCGTCCCACCAGAAACACTGTCGTGGCGAGGGCGAGGTGACCTGACGTCGGGTCGGTCCCGTGCGTCGTCGTCATCGACATTCGACGATAAGGCCGGCCGGACTGTGTGTGATGGCCGGGTGCGCGTCCCCGTCGCGGGTGCCTGGCCGGCGGGTTCGCGGCAGCCGGCCAGCAGCGGCGGCGTGATGCCGCGGAGGGTTCAGCTTCAGCAGGTGGGAGGGAGGCCGGTGGTGCGGCCCGCTGTGAAGTCCACATCTTCTCGGGTCGTTGGTACTGCCCCGTCCATAAAAAAAAGGGGACAATTATACGTTGATATCCAAAGTAATGGTTCTTTGTTGGTGGACACTCACTTTAGAGCATTTTGCCAGAAGACATTCTGGTTCGATAAAATTAGACCACATGACACCGTAGACCGGTTGCAGCCGATTGAGGAGAGAGAAAAATTTATTTTGACATCCGGTGCCCCTGAGCCATAGTTGGGTCCGCCCCTCTCCCTCACACTGACGCGCGGGCCCCACCTGTCATCTTCTTCATCCTTCTTTTCTCCTCTTCTCTTCTTCCATTGCTGAGCAGCAGCCATTGCCGTCGACCAGCGAGAGGGCAAGGTGGTGGGGGGCGCTTGCTACTGTCTTCAGCTTTCTTCCCTTTCGCGCGGTCAACAGAGAAAATAGAGGGAGAGCGACAGAGAGAAGGCAAGGCAAGGAGGGAGAGCGGAGGGGCAGGGCGCCGGTGGGAGCTGGGCTCCGGGCAGCGGCGCTTCTTGGTGGAGTCGCGGCGAGGTCGACGGCAGGAGGACGACCTCAGTCGCGTCCACGCGCGGGCGCGAGAAGCAGAGCAAAGGAGGAAGAAGGGGAAAGAAGTAGAGCACTGCGACGGTGCTCGGCTACGGCGAGGGCGGACTGCGAGCGTCGGGCAGCAGTGATTCCGGGCACGGTGGTCGCAGGCCGAGTCGGAACTCCGCCCCCCCCGACGCTCGCCTACTGCTGCTGCTGCCGAGCACCCCCCTCCATCTCTACCTCTCCCTCTCTGCTACTTCTCCCTCTCTTCTCCTTCCCTAACCAGCGCACACCGCCGGCCACCTCACCAGAGCCGAGGTCGCTGTTGGCCGGAGTCGCTCTACCCTCTCCCTGCTTCCTCCATCCTTCTCTTTCCTCTCCGCCTTACCTTCCCTCTCCCTCTCTCGCTCAGTTGGAGACGGGCGTAGAGCGCCGCCACCGGCACCTTGCTCCCTAGCTCCTTTCCCCTCTCTCCCTTCTCTCTCTCCCTCTCGCTTCCCCTCTGTCTTGCTTCTCTCTGTGCCGCGGCGGCGAAGGCCAGGGACAGGAAGGGTTGTGGTGAGTCGATGAGTGCGCCGAAGAAGGGCGCGACGGGGAGGTGCTCGTGGCGGCGCACGAGCGGGTTGGCCAAGTGGATATCAGCGTCGCAGGCGGAGCAGAGCCGTGATGGCGTGGCGGCAGTGGTGGTGTGGTGGTGGGGGCGTGGCGGCCGGGGCACACGAGGCGCGTCGTCCTCGCGGCGGTCACAGGTGCTCCGCTCCACGACGACGGCAAGTAGGGCGCGTGCCCATCACGCTCTAGTACCCCACCGCCGGCTTCTGCTCCAGCTCCACCGTGGTGTCCATGCCTCTGTTGTCTGCTCCGGGCGTCACGAGAGAGATGCTCCATGCCTCTGCCGCTGCTGCTGTGAGCGCTCTCAGAAAGGAAAAATGGCGGCGTGTGGTAGGAAGGGCTACAAGACAAGACGCCTGAAAGCAAAGCAGCAATGATTTGGAGAAAGGAAGAGAGGAAGAAGAAAGCGATAGGGGCAATAATGTCATTTCACCGCTGTTCTCTCTCCTCAACTGGCTGCAACCGGTCCGCGGTGTCCTGTGGTCTAATTTTAGCGAGCTAGAGTGTCTTCTAGCAAAATTCTCCAAAGTGGGTGTCTGCCAGCAAAGAACCATCACTTTGGATGTCCAACAGATAATTGTCCCAAAAAAATATAATTATCATATTTCGAAGAGTCAAACAGTTTAAACTTTAACTAAAATTATATAAAGATGTGCTAACACTTATAAGAAAATAAGTACCATTAGATTAGTTATAGAATATATTTTTATAACAAATTTATTCAGAGACATAAATGCTAATATTATTTACTATAAATTTGGTCAAACTTAAGCTGGTTTGACCGGCATAGTTCCTATAATTGTATTTTTTTGGACGGAGGAGTAGTCGCCAAATAAATACCACATCCCATCTTATCAAATATGTTTTTTTAAAACGGCGAATGAGGTTTCAGCATGTCGAACGCCCGGACGTCCGAACGGACACCCGCGTTCGGACGTCGGGGCCTGCTGCTCCATTTCACATGTGTTCGCACGCACGTGGGAACCTCCGTGCCTTCTCATACGGACACTCGCACCCGCATGCACACGGGGCCGCGCGCCCCTGTCTCCGTCCCGCTCCGCGTCACGCGCCCGGGGCCCCGGGCCCCTGCCTCCATCCCTCTCCGCTTTCCACGCGCATGGACGGCGCCCTATCAGCTACAGCAGACGGGTCCCGCTACAACATGTGCAACACCCGATCTACTTTTTGCAACATCTAGATAAAATACCTGCAACATGCATCCAAAATAGCTGAAACACATGCAACGTACGTCTGAAACACTTGTAAAACACCTAATATCCATTGCAAAATATATGCAACATCTAAAAACCCTCCTTGTCCATGATACTTACTTGCAATCAATTCATAGTCTTCCCAAGTAGCTTCTTGGTTGGACCAATGAATGAGCACTTGGGGTACCGCTGCATTTCGCCTTTCACCATGCGACGAGATCTGATAGCTATTGGCTTAATCCGAGGTTTCCCTTCTAGGCCCACCAACGGCAGTTGAGGAGACATTGCTTGCTCTCTTCCTAACGTCGCTTTGAGTTGCTTCAATGAAATTGGAAAGGAGGATGGAAGCAATGAGCGACCCTGACTTTATTAGGTTTATGAAAACTAGCTATTCAACACTTGCAACATACGAATGAAACACTTGAAATGTACTCTTACAACATGCATGTATATGCAACATCTAGATAAAAAATCTAAAACATACGTCTGAAACACATAAAACATTTGAAAACATACGCTTGCAACATGCGTATATTGTCATTGCAGCATATGCAACATATCAAATATACTTTTGCAACATCCAGACCAAACACTTGAGACATAAGTCTGGAACGCCTGAAACACGGCGTCGCCGGCGGGCACGGCCTACCTGGTGGGGAACTGCGGAAGCCAGCAAGCTCAGGTCAGGGATGTCGGCCCGTTGCTCCTCCTGCGATTCTCCCGCGCCTGCTCGCTTCCCAGGCTCGCGCCCGTCAGCGCGGCTTCTCTAGCGCCGTTGCTGCTCGGCCGTAGTCGTCCAACACTATCCACTCGCGGGAGATGGGGCGCGGCGCGGCCAGGATCGGGGTGCGGCGCGGTGGGGGAAGGGCACAGCGCGGCGGTGGACGGACGTATGTGCGGTGACGCCGCGCACCGATGCGAGTGCGAGTGACGAAATTTTTAGCGATGGAAGATGGAAGGGACGTAGAGGTGCTGTTGGGCCTGTCCGCTTTGCAGACTCAGGAAGGCAAGCATTTGCGATGAGGTTTTGATACACCAAACTGTGATGTGAAAGAGTTATTCTCCGGTTTTCAATCTATGTCTCGATTATATTGGACCAATACGCTATTTTAGAATCCATGGTTATAGTTATTATTCTTGTATGGCCAGAGGGAGTATATTACCCTACCGCTGCATGCCTGCCGTTCTCGAGCGTCAACTGCGCAGTTCCACCAGGCTATCGCTAGCACGCATGGCGAACATGGTTCCATGCGACGACGGGCGGGCTCCTGCCGTGCCACAGGGACACAGGGTGCACTGCATCCTCGCTCGTGTTTCACGAAGAACCTGACCTTATTATTCAACAGGGGTCAAGCCCATCCATAAGACCCGAATTGTCAAATGGCCTAGACTTTGACCGTTTGACCGTTTTTGCATAATTCATAGTAGTAGTAGTGGTACTGTAGTGTGTAGCATAGATGCCTTCGGTTGGGGCCAGTTTAGGGCCTGTTTAGATGGCGAATTTTTTTGTAAAATGCACTGTAACACTTTTCGTTGTTATTTGACAATTAATGTCCAATCATAGTCTAATTAGGCTTAAAAGTTTCGTCTCATGAATTTCGTCTAAATTGTGTAATTAGTTTTATTTTTTATTTATATTTAATGCTTCATGCATGCGTCCAAAGATTCGATGTGACGGAAAATCTGAAAAATTTGGCAAAATTTTCTGGAACTAAACTAGACCTTAGTTCCTGCAACGCGAACGCTTCAGGCTCACTCAGGGGAAATGACGTCATCGGCCTCCAAAAACAATCACGCAAATGACGCTGAAATTTGCCCGAGACACTGGGCAACAAGCCAGCAAAGAGAGACAAATCGCACTAGCATTAGGCACGACCGCACGAGGGCCTGCCTACAGCGGCGATGCATATCCGCGCACAAAACAAATGGATAAGATAATCACCTGGAGCGTAGCATACTAGCATGGCGATGTGTTGCCGCCTGGCGCCTTTATTCGTCTTGA